GGACTGCCTGTGTGTTGTCACCCAGCAAGGCAATGCCATCGCCATATTCTAAGTCAAGAACTCTGTTCCCTGGGAGGAGTTCGACTCCACCGTTTGCTAGACCGGACAAAGCATTCTGTAGAACATCCTCTATGACAAAGTTGAAAAGGAATGGGAATACAGGGCAGCCTTGTCGAACTCCACTAGAGATGGTGAAGGGTGGTGAAAGCTGGCCATAAACCCTAACCCGACCTGAGGTATGACGATACAACTCTTTAAGGATCGACACACTTCTGAGGTACTCCATTCCTCAACGAGCAGTTCCATAGTGCGGTCCTACCGACAGAGTCGAAGGCCGCGCGAATGTCTAAGAATACAATGATCGTTGGTCTTTGGTAAGCATGACGGTGCTCAAGCAGCTGTCGGAGGGTGAAGACTTGATCGATGCATCCAAGACCGGCGCGAAACCCAGCCTGCTCCTCGCGGGTCTGCTCCAAACGTTCAGGGTTTTTTGAGTAAGTTTCCGGAAGTGGAATTACGTTGTCGGACCGGTCGATGGGATCTTTTTGTCGTAACCGAAACCTGGTTGACGACTGACATTTTAAACTCTGAGCTACGATTACCGGGCATGGAGCTATTAAGACGTGATCGTCCAGCGCCAGGTGGGGACGTGTTGCTCTATTATCATAACAGCTTGCAATAAGAGCAAATTGAGTGCCCGTTCACTGATTCAGATACGTTACGGTGTAAACTGAATCTAATGCAACATGATATCAAGCTGATCGGTGTAGTTTATCGCCCTCCTTCGTCAGCAGATTCATCAAACAAGAATTTGCTGCAAACAATGTCTTATTTCTTGTCATTGAATTTCACTCACGTTCTTATCATGGGTGACTTCAACTGCCCAAAGCTGAGCAACATGACGACGTCGTGTATGCCGTTTGAACGACAATTCATGCAGTTTATCCAGTCACATCCGTTGTACAATCATGTGAAGGAACCCACCAGGTTTGGAACCAACCAAATTTCGTCAACTTTGGATCTATTACTGACAAATGAAGAATTGATGGTCGAATTAATTGCAATCGCAACTTCGTTTGGCCTCAGTGATCACGCTGTATTATTGTTCGAATACGTTTGCTATGCATTAGTAATAACAGCTTCTTCGAATCGCTTTCGCAGCATAACCGACTATGCAGGACTAAACACCCAGGCTCATGGAATCCAGTGGACCTCCCCTGATATAGACTGCAATCCCCTGGAATCCTGGATAAAATTTACTAACAGCATTAAAAGATTGGTGGCTGCTGTTACAACCGTCAAGCGTCTATGCAAACCGATTGTTCGAAAATCAGCAATTCGCAGTCGAACTAGGAAATGGATACTGCAAAGGGACTTTCACTGGAGGGAGTTTAAACGCTGTCCATGCCCAAGGAAGCTTGCAGGTTCCTTAGAAACCACTGTGTAAATGTGGTGCGGGAAGACAAGCACCATTATCGTAATATTCTGGCGAGGGAGTTTATCGCAAACCCTAAGCTGTTATATAAGCATGTAAATACTTCCGGCAAAGTCAAAAACGGCGTTCCGATACTAAACTCAGAAGGACGTGTTTCAGCGATAACCAAGGAGGCTGCAGAAATACTTAGACTACAGTACTCTCAAGTGGTCAGTGCGCCTAATAACACTGGGTTCGTATTTCCCCATTTGCTGGAACAGAATCCTTGTCAATTACTGACAGACTATCTCTTCTCCCGAAAGGATAAAGGCAAAACTCCTGTCTTTGAAGAAGAACTCATCATCGGGTTTAGATAACATTCATCCAAAAGCCCTTATAACCCTGGTAAGTCACAGCCGATCCTTTAAGTGGGCTATACTAAAAACTGTTTGAAGATAACGTGCTTCCTCAGGTGTGGAAAAACGGTGTCATTTCACCAATTTACAAAGGTGGATGCCATAATGACCCAGCAAACTACCGACCCGTCACTCTCCTTCCAGTGTTGTCCAAAGTTATGGAATCTATTGTCGCAGATTCGTTAATAGATCATCTGGAGAAAAACGGCTTACTATCCCCAGCCAATCACGGGTTTCGAAAAACTTGTTCATGTGCAACTAACTTGATTTTGGCTAAGGACGATTTAACTCATGCTGTAGACCGAGGCAAAGGAGTAGATGTTATTTACCTGGACTTCTCTAAGTCATTTTATAGGGTAAACCATCAAATACTGATACGGAATCTGTAAAACTATGGAATCCGTGGACTCGTAATTGGCTGGATCGAGGATCGGGGACAACCATTGAAGAAAGTACTCCAAAATTCTCGACTGGACTGCCGACGTCATGCGTTCACCGTCAGAGTGTGCACTGCCTGGAATTCCCTACCATCTCATGTTGTATGTGCCGAGACGATTGATTCTTTCAAGATAAAACTTGACGAATCAATAACACACATTGCATTCCAACATTCATGAGAACACAAAACACAACCGAATGCAGTATACGGAATTTTGTCCATCACTGTTACAGTTCAATTCGCGTTATCATCCTATGGGACATGAAAAGCACCTGCTTGTAAGTAATGCTCATAATAAAACTTTGACATTGACTTTGTCCAAGGTGCCCAATACACTTCAATGCCAAATTGAGGTGATCACTGTAACAACCGAAAAGGTGTAGGTGCGGTTCGTACGTCTCTTCTTGGTTGGTTTGGAATTAGGGTTTTTGGCTAACTCCCCTAAGTGAACTAACAGTGGCCCACCAACCCGATTATAGCCCCGGATATCGGCTATTTTTCCTCTCACTTTGGTGGGAAAACACCTGGGCCACGAGAAGGCAGTGAGTAGGACTTTCTCAGCAGAGGCTGTTTGAGACGCTTGGTCATAAAGGAGTATTTCGCGCGGTTCAAGGAAAGGGTGACCAACAGCAAGCCTAGACACCCACCCCCGACCACACTGAGGCTTTTTATTCTAAACTTTTCCAAAAATTGGCCAACTACGATTCCCTGAGTGGTTCAGCTATGCCTGCTACCGTGCCCTACGTTCGAAAACGTCTCAGCAATCCGTTATGAGCGCAGCTTATTGAACTCAAAATGTTGCAACCATTTCTCGCAAGCCAGAAACAAATGCGGCGAGATAAGAAACGCTTCATTCGCCACAAGGTAAATCACCTGGCTTCGTCCACTTCGTCTAGATGTTGTGGTTCCTTGCCAAAGTGATTCCATGCAATTTCCGTCCTTTCAACTTTCCTCTGATTGGCAATTCCTCTGGTTTTTTCCTTCCAGTTTGTGTCCAACCATACCTGGTCCACCGACTCCAGTTTTCAGGCGACACGTTATATTCATCCAACTACATTTTTCTGCTTCAGATAACAAGTGTCTTATCGAAGTCATATATCTCATTTATATGAACAAAAAGATTTCAGTGGCTATGTTTCATTTAAAATTTCAAATCAAAGCTATTAAACTGTCAGTTTCATTCAGAGTGACAAGCGTAAATGGAGGCCTCACGTGATTCACCAAAGAGAGTCTAAGTGTAAGGATTCCAGTCTTCTACTTCGTCACGCACACATAGAACGATTCAAATTGATAATCGATCTCGATCATCATTGTACAGCGTAATACAGTGAAGAGAACTTCACTGATCGCTGCCAAACTCATAATGAAGTGTACAATGATGATGATGATGGTGTAAAAGGGGTTAGGGATTGAGCCTATTTTTAGGGACGGGAAAAGAAAGCGAAACTCTATGGTCAACACAAAGAGTACACAGTCCAACCGTGCATACATAACATTTCTTTTCTTTTTCATTTTACTTCCTTTTATTGAATATACAAAGATACAATTTTCAGGAAGGGGGAAGCGGCCAATCAATGGGCTGCCATACAACACACAAATGGGGAAAGTTAGGCGGTGGTGGTAGGATTCGAACACACGTCCGCCGGGGTGATAATTTGGTGACGTTACCACCGGGCCACCACCGCCCAAGCATTCTGGTCTGAGAAGAAGTGACAGCAAGATCGGCATTGCTGTCGGTTCGCAGCCATGACCTTCAGTGTCTCCAACCATGCGGTTTCGGAGTCTTTTGAACCCAAACCCGGAAGACGAGAGACACCTACTCTACCTAATCTCTCTGTGCATTCCTTAATATCTCGTCTCCACATCATCTCCTGGCCTTCATGTGGCTTACCCCAGTTTGCAGCGGCCACTGCGAATAAGGCGCGCTGCGGTACGCGACCGTTAGACATACGCGAAACGTGTCCTAACCATCGGAGCCTGATGAGCTGGATGCGATGCGATAAAGAGCTCGTGTTCGATGCATTCCCAAACACGCGACAACTTACTTCTAGGTTACTAATTCGTACACCTCACCCCACCTGGGTCAAACTACGTAAGCATCGATTGTCGAAAAACACTAGGTGACGGATGTCATTTACCTGCAAATTCAGTGTCTCACAACCGTAAAGCAGGACTGATCGTACAGTGAAGCATTATACGCGACTTTTCAATTTTAGTGAAATGTCACGTCATCGCCATAGATGTTCTAGTCCTGCGTACGCTCCTCAAGCTTTGGAAATTCGAGCGTTCATCTCCTTTGATGCACTGCCGTCGTTGGTCACGCAGCTAAGTGAGAGAAGCAGCCAACTTCAGCTAATTCCTGACCATCTAGTTTTAGAACGGGACTCGGTGACTTGCAGCATCACTTTGCACTTTGAAGGTGCAAAGAATATACCGATTGGGAGCAACAGAATTTGCTAGTCTGTCAAGTGCGTTTTGTGGATCCTGCACACATTTCAAAGGACAAACAATATTGTCAGCGTACCCTAGGTTACACAGCTTTTATCTAGCTGCCCATTCAATACCAACGTCTCAGTGTGTTTTCTACGACGAAACCGAGCGGGAACTCAGCCACAGAAATCAGCTCTTCGATCTTCCCAACAAGTTGATTCATCATCGGGATATGAAAGAAAACTTCACATCATCGGCGAAGAAAATTTTCGGAAGTATATATATAACCTGCATAACGAACCTGTTGGAAGAGCGGCCAGAGCCACACGACGCGTCTCCAGCTGACTTAACAGCTTGTCCTTTTCCGCAATCCACAATTTCTCCGCCTGGCGAAATTGATTGCGTTGAGCGAGGAATTCCTCCGTGCCGTCGTATAACAGGTCCTGGCACCGTTTTAATCTGCATCGGAATGGCAGAAACGACATAAAACCATTAGGATTCGTCCGTACTGCGAAGCAGTATGCCGATTTATTCATTACCATTTTGTCTAATTAGTTCCAAAGAGTCCGTGGAAAACAGAACACACAGTGGTAAACAAGTTCGCTTTCAGTGATTCGTAATGATATCAATAAATCGATATATCAGTGGTTGTACACGCAGTTACTATTAGAGTCGTCCCATCTCAAAAACAATGTTATGTTTGACCATTGGCATGTATTGTGATGTATTGGTATAATTACGAATCAATAATTGGAATACAATCCACATCTAGTGCATAAGCTGTAGGATCCGTTTTCTACCCACTCCAAGTGTCTCAAATGCGTATACCGATGGAAATATTATTTTTGTTCAAATGTACACGCCGAGAGGTTGAAATTTTTAGGTTGCCAGCGGTCTAGCAATCAGATTCATCTCACTCAAAGACAGAGTGGACATAGAGAGAGAGAGAGAGTACATTCCAATGTCCCGATCGAAGCCTTCGTCCGCAGGCAGACAGCTGTATCAAGAAAAACCCAGCCCGTGATCCCGAAACATCCTGGTACACTGATGGTGACAATGATGTGGTAATGGGCAGTGCTGTGTCCTTGGATGCGTTTTTAGTCTGTGAGGACAGACGATCAAATGATCTCTCTAGCACAGTGACAAACAGGTGAGCGTGAATAAGTTGTGGTGCCAGCATCAGGGTGAGGTAGATTTCTAAGTGTTGATTAGAGGCCATGTAAAAAGCCGAAAAAAATGCCCGATGACGGAATTTCGGTAAACGCTACTGGTAAGGACTTACTATTACTCTTGTTATCGATCACACCCTAGGTAGTAGTTGTATTCGCGTTAAAGCTTCAAGAGCGGGCATGTTGAGGGAATGAAACTGGACAGGTTCCAGATGGTGCATGTGCACCACTGGTGAGCTCTAAGGAGAACGCCAGTGAAATCTACTGGGTCTCCAGTGCGTCAGGTTGGACAGATGAACTGAGGACTGTCGTAATGAGAGAGATTCTGCAGGATGATCAGTTCCAACCAAAATCGAGTACCCCACATCATCAATCATATATAATTGTGAGCTAAAAATGGCAAAACGCTTGCTCACTTTACCGGGTAAACGATATCCCCAAATGTCATAAAGGAGATAGCAGATCGATGTACACGCCCATCAGTAGTGGAAGTTAGAACCTGTCAATCAATACCCTGACAACAGCAACGTGAATAATTATCCAATATTTTTACTTTCTTTATTCAAAACTGTCACGTGAATCTTGCTTTGGCACTCAATAAAACGAAACCGGAATGAAATCAACAAAAAAACATTTCAAATTAGCATTCTACAGACATCCCTGAGCTAAACAAACAACAGAACCAAACTCACTGTTCGGCTGACTGACGTATACGATCCTCATGCCGTTTGCGCAACGTATCCATCTCTTCTTGCATTGCAACTCGATCGTCTAGCAGACTGTCAATCTGTTCACGAGCGGTACGAGTTTGTTCAGCCAGTTGAGTCTGAAGCGAGCGTAAACTGGCTTTCAACATCTCGATCTCACGCAGTGCGGCCTCATGTTCTGACTGGGAGACGGAGTGACGGGTGGTGCTGGTTCTTCCATCATCCGGTTCGTGTGTATGACACGTGGTAGAACCTGATGAGCATTACGCGGACCAACAAGAAGCGCCACGGAAATGGTGGTTACCGTCGGGGAAATTGGAATGAAATAGTGGTAAGTGATAAGGAAATCGAATGCGCACACAGTGGGTGTAATATTGAATACGGCAGAACTTTTTGGACAAACAGAAGTCAAAATCATTTTGATCAATCAATGATGTGTTCAGATAAAAAAAAATGCCCAATCAACCGAAAGAAACACGGGTTAAGGGGGGAAATAAACCAGACGAGCAGGTGAATTCCAATAATTATGCAGTACCATACATTTACCCGGTCAGCATGTCCCGCTTAGATTTCATGTTTACTTGAAGTCGGGAATAACAGTTGACCAACCTCCATTACTCTCATACAACAAATAATCAGGTTGTGAAATTTCCAACGGAGTCATAACCCCGGAGGCTAATGCTGAGACGAGCGAGGACCGATGCCTGCAACGAGCTCGTAAAGATGGGTTGTACTATATTGCCCATATATATATATATATATATATATATATACTATATTGTCTCCTGGTCGGGGTTTTCATGCCCTCGGGCCAGTCTTAGTTTAACCACCCTTAGCTTTTCGCCATCCACCACTTGCCTCGGTGAACATCGCTCGCCGTGGCAACCTATCTGGTGACATGCGTAACACATTCCCCAACCAACGTAATCTATGAAGATCGACCATTTGCTCCAGTGGGCGACCGCAGTTACCTAAAACCCTGCACCTAATCTCAGCATTGTTCATCCGGCTGCCCCATCATATTCGTAGACAGCTGTGTTCAAACACCGACAGTCTATCTTTGTCCTGTTTTCTTAATGGTAAAATTTCTGTGCCGTATGGAAGAATTGGCCAAACTGCCGCGACATATACTCGACCCTTCACAGACAGCCGGATATCGCGACGGCGCAACAGCTGTCTCAAGTAGGCAAATGCCGATCGAGCCTTCTGTATGCGAGCTGACAGTTCATCCGTGGTGCGTCCACCGGGTGACATGTAGCTGCCCTCGCACAAGGATAGGGCTGTTTCCATAAGCAAGTCTATAACAAAATTAAATAGAAAAGGAGAGGGAAACCCTGACGATTAACACTTTCCGTGATCAACTCGGGTGAAGACGTGCCGTAAGCTCTTAGTCGACTTCGGCTATTAGTGTAAAGGGATCGCAATATTGAAATAAACTTCTCGAGCACATCTTTCAGGGAAAGGCAGCGCCAGAGTTTAGAGCGGTCGACTGAGTCGAAAGCCGCTTTTAAATCGAGGAAGAAAGAGATTCAGGGTCTAGGAAGAGAATGCCGATGCTCCAGAATTTGGCGGAGAGTGAAGATGTGGTCGATACAACCTCGACCGGGTCTAAAACCCGCCTGATTCTTCTCCGTGTTCCGTTTACGTGTGGCAGACAATCGACGGAGTACGATGCGCCAGAGTTTAGAGCGGTCGACTGAGTCGAAAGCCGCTTTTAAATCGAGGAAGAAAGAGATTCAGGGTCTAGGAAGAGAATGCCGATGCTCCAGAATTTGGCGGAGAGNGGTCGATACAACCTCGACCGGGTCTAAAACCCGCCTGATTCTTCTCCGTGTTCCGTTTACGTGTGGCAGACAATCGACGGAGTACGATGCCAGCGAGAAGTTTAGAGTCAATGTTGATTAAACTAATTCCTCTGTGGTTTTCACAAGAGGATCTGCCACTTTTTGTGAATCGGCAAGATGACTGATTCGCCCCATTGGGTTGGGACCTGTTGCCCTTCCCACACTGAGCCCAGGAGTTTCGCCAACTCGAAGACTAACACTGGGTCTCCATTCTTAAACGCCGACGGAAACATACCATCTAGGCCGGGGGCATTATGCCCTCTGAGATAACTTATTTCCCGGGAAAACCCTATTTCAGAGAGAGAACTAGCATCAACTGGGAGTATGTGCCCGGGCTAGCTGGGGGTGATAAGTCAGATGTCGATGGGGGCCAGTTGGACTGAGCGTCTAACTGTTCAGTCCACCGATCAAGACGGTGTTGCTGATCGTGAATCATTGTGCCATCGGATTCCTTAATTACCTCACACCTATTTTCCTGGGGCAAGATTACAGCTTAGGTTTGACAAAAAGACTTCCTGTGAAGCTCGCTGGGTTACAGAAGTGCACCAGCCATCACACCAAATCATGATGAAGTCTATTTGTGATCTTGTGAAAACCTTACGCCAAAATACTCTTCTTGCGATAATTTTTTTTTCCGGAGACATTCTTACCTTCCGTGATATGGAAAACGAGTGGAAAAATTGAACATTTTGCAAAAGTGAGAAAACCATGCACATGAGGAAAACCGGCGGATGGAAAGAGAGCCTTGATGTGAAACTGAACCACGTCTCCAGCCAAACATAAAGTGAGTCCTCTGCAAGACAAGCTACCCCAATCTGAAGCACCGGTTTCATCAGTTGAGATTTTCAGAAGTTGGCCGCTTCTACCTTTCATCCAAACACAGCACGTAAGAGGAGATCGGCTCAGGAATAGATGCAACGCTTGTCACAGCACGGTATGGTGTGCAAAGTTCGAGCATCTGATTCAGTACCAACGTTGATTATCTAATATCCTACATCTTATTCCGGAATGGCGGATACGGTCATATCAACAAATTCGAGGAATACTGCAAAGGCAACGGAGCTTGAGAAAACTAAAAGCGACTTGAAGAAACCAAGTTTGGTAAGACCACACACCCGGCTGAATGCGTAAACGTTATTTAGAAAAATGGACAGGGTGAGTAAGAAAATCAGAGAAAAATTATGACGATCATTTCATGTTGACACTAAAACTCTGCCACTGGGCGATTCGTAATTTACGCTGTCTACGAACTACTAAAAATTATAACGTAGCAAAACTGAACATGCACAGATGGTGAATCATGATGTGGATCGAATTTAGCGACGGTGAAAATCCGGAGTTCATTTGTCAGACAAATCATACAGCGCGACCTACCTCCAGTGGCTTGTCGACGAATAGTCTTGCCGGAGGCAGTTAGTTCCAGCACACCATGAACGGGGACAGGGGGAACCACCGGCGGAACAACCAAGCCGGAAAGGCATTCAGTTTTACTCTTGAGATCATCACCCGTATCTGGTAGGCCTCCTTCGGGAGAAGCCCCAGCCTCAGCATTGTGAGGTTTGTTCTTCTGCGCGGTCGATGGACAACTGTCTCGTAGAAAATACGTCACTTCAGCTGGGCCCAATCCGGATAACTGCAGCAAATGTTGTATTTTACGTCGGTCATTCAGTTCGCGGATTTTAAGTCGATCATTCTCTGCGTACATACGCAAAACGTGTTCACGTTCTTGGAATAGGTAAACCTTTTCGGGAAATGAAGGGAACCAAAAACAGATACCATGAGATTGGTCATGAAATCTCTTCCACCTTGAAATATACTTTGAAGCGCCATGAGTGAGGAGAAGAACATACTTGCATATCAGATAAGGCACGTTGTAGTTCAGCTATTTCGGCCTCACGTTGACGAACTTCCCAAGTCAGTGTTTCTTGATTCCCAATAGCATCGGCTATTTTATCCAGTCGGCGCTGAACATGTTCGTGATCTTCCGTCAGAGTCTCTACTTTACGACGATAGTAGGTCAATAATTCATTCGACGGATCAGAGAGTTGAGACAGACGTGAGTCAATTAAATCCTCCCGTGCACCGGTCGCTGTGGACGGTTGTGATTCTGTGACCGGATCTTGACCACCATCCGGCGAGTTCCGATGTGACAGAATGCGAAGCTGCTTAGTTCCGGTTGACTGAGCCGATTTGCTACGACTGGCAGAATACGGACTGAGAAGAATGGCAATGAATACGATGAGTGTATCTTCGATCAGACTAACTTGTGGGTAACAATGGAATTTAAAAAACTCAATTTCACTGAGGAAAAAGACTTTTAAAAATGTTATTTCTCGAACATTTGCAATTAAACGTTGTGTAATGACCGACAGCCCACTAAACGGTTGGTTCGTTCTTACTGAGGTCAATTAGAAATAGATAATTCTGTAGTGGCCTTTCGGGACTCGGACGAAGTAACGAGGAATCTGAAATACAACCTTGATGAGAACGACATCACACAGGTGCTTCTTCTGCATGAGCTCAACAGCCAACTAGTTCATGGACGCATCCGGAAAGAAGGGAGGTCGGGTATTTGCATTGTTTCAAATGTGTGTTGCATTAGAGGGGGCGTATGGGGTAGAGGGGCTTCTGACTCAAACAGTGAACTACCTCACGGATTCAGCGAATAAAATCATCTTGCGGAATCAATAAGTCAATCACTGTACATTGTGTTGGTACGGCATGATTAGGATGTACTGAAACCGAGCCTCCTCGCCACTTCAAGTTCTCATGTGCTCTGTGGGAGTTTTCAAAAATGATGAAAACCTTGGAAGATATAAAAGACTGAAGACTGCAGGAGAGTATAGTGTTGTATAAACCGTATTTTTGATCATCAGTTGGTTGCGTTCTGTCCATCGTTCATGCCTACAATTTCATTTTTGGATGCTCTTTTTTAACAAGCTGACCTCCCTCCCCAGTTTAGTAGATTTCGAACGAATAGATATCTCTACGAGCAGACACCATTGATAAGACGATACCTGTTAAGTGTAACACACGAATTGTGACACGATAGCAGTTTATATTTGGATGAAGGCATGCATCGAGTGAATTGATTACCGGCGAATGTACCGAAAACGCTGAACAATTCGTCTGATTATCACCGCCGGGGATTAACAAGCAAAAGCAAACGGGTAGTGAGCATATTTTCTTAAATTGAACAGAGATCATAGGCTACAATGAATGATGGAAATATGTTTTCGTATAAACGATCCAGCCAAGTGTCAATTGCAGACATACCTATGGGGCGGTGTTTTCCACTATTTTGGTGCAGCATTCCTATCATACAAGACGGAGATATTATCGTTTCCGGGAAAATCGTTATAAGATGAGTGTAAGGATATTTATAGCTAGATTCGGAGAGAGGGAGCAAGCACCATGTAAGGTAGGCGGTACCTGATACAGCGACTTTGGTGAAACGTACGAATGTGTAAAAACAAGCAACAGAAAACTCCTGCATACCGAACACATATCTCGTCATACGTCTAATGCTAGACAAGAAACAAAAACAATTATCGGACCAAACAACAATAGATATGAACTGGGGATAAAAACAGATGCGAATAGCAAATGAGTGAGCCGGAATTGCGCTCTGTGATCAGAAACACTACCGGACATATAACCAGAAATAAAACCCCTAATGAAACGAAGTTGGACTGAAAAATGCGGATAAAACGAATAAAGCTTAATGACTGGTGGCTGTGCACACAAGCCATGTGGTAAGGCTAGCTGTGGGATTTGGTTGTGAATGTGCGTAAGGTCAGGTACACCTGAATCAGATGAACGATAAACCTTCCCAAAACCACCACCAGTGGAGAAAGCTGATCACGAGAAGAATGCAACAGCTGCTACTATGGCTGACCGATCGTCACATTCCCTCCAAAACGGAATCCGCATTACGTAATAACGCCACTTTTATTGGACAGCTGCTAACAAAGCCGGGACACGGATAAAAAATACAGCCTGTTCATAATATATCATTATAACACTTAATCGACCAAATGGTGAACCAAAAAGAGCAAATGAATTGTTATTTCTTTGAAAAAGAGATGCTATTAAACGAAAAAAGGTTCCAGTTGTAGCCCATCATAGAAAAAATGGAGATATGTGAAAATGACATTGATTCCATGTTAGAGTAAAACATCAAGGCATTTGACTAGCAAACTGGTGTTACATACTTTATTTGAAACCAATGCATGCTATTTCATGGCTTGTGTAAAGGTTACGATACAACGAGACTGCAGAATGATGCCTCAAGGCTAAAAGAAAGCAGAAAAGCCGGTAATTCTATTTTGAAACGTGAACAATCCATCTGGACTTGCTTTTGTTATTCAGTAAATCTTAGCAGTACACTTGATTCCACCTTCGCACGATCAATGGATTTTAGGTCGATGGCGTAAAAGAAGCCTTCAGTAAGCTGAATTTGTCAGTCAAGTGAAATACGACCGCGCGATTAGGTGTAAGAAATGGATTGCGGTAGATCGCGAGTACAAACAAATCAGTAACTGAACATTTGTAATCTAAGAGAATGAATAAATGAACGGCACTGGGTAGTGAGGATGACCCATGAACCAGGCCTAACCCCGTCATTCTGCACCAAATAGAGAACAAAGGAAATATAGAACTAAAACTATCCGGTAATCTTACACCGAAATACAGTGAAGCAAACCTCGCCCATCACTGTCAAGCTTCCAAAGTGCACAAGCTAAACATGAATGTCTAGGTTTGATAGAGAGGCAAAAGAAAGTGAACTGTGCCCACACACATTTTCAAACAGTCTACGGGCTTCAAAACCCAGTTTGGAAGAGTGGAAAAAATGATTTATCTAGTGCATTTACGCTATTCCCAGTCCCTCGTCTCCACGTCATTGGTCGGCCTTCATGTGGTTTCCTCTACTCGACAACAGCGACCGCAAACAGAACGCAGTGCGTTAGAAGACTGTAAGGCTTGCACACTGAGTGTCCTAACCATCAAAGTCTATTAATCCGATGCCTCTGTGGTATTAGACTATACGCCGAGACGATTCCAAACTCAACGATTTACGTTGATGCTGATAATCCAGTCCGAATTGCGATGTTTACTGAAGCAGTTAGTGGGTCGAAAGCCAAGAGTAAGCAAAACAATATCTAACATGAGGGTGAAGGCGGTGGTGGCCCGGTGGTAACGTCACCAAATTATCACCCCGAAGG